CTTGTATAATGTAGGGGAAACACTGAATGACATGTTGTTGTAATGGCTGCATTGTGGTTTAGCGTCTTTTTGATGAAATATGCAAGAACTTCGCTGAAAAAGACACGGAGCATACAGGGTGCACATGCCCTAAAACCTGCGTATTCTTTTCTGCATTGACGGTGCCTATCCAGACAGCATGGTGTTACTGAAGGTCATTTCAAGGACAGCAGGATATTTAAACATCTGGCATGTTTGCCTGTATTGTGAACAAAGTGAGCTTATATTTGCAAATGATTGCACTCAGTTTTGAATTTACAATTTACTCACAGTCCCAACTTCTTCAGATGTGGTGTTAAGACTATGTCATAGCTCTGCTCTCTGTCAGCTCCTCTGTCATGCTGCACACTCAGTAATCACTCAACTCATGTCACCTGTCACCGCTCATTATCCCACAGCTCCACCACCTGGTCCAGTCAGTACTTAAGCTCACTCATTCCTCTCAGTCTGGGCCAGATTCTCTATCCTGTCTCATCAGCAGTAGACTTTCCAGCATTCCATTGATTGACTCATCACGTTCATGACCCTTGCCTTGACCACGACCACGCTTTTGCCTCAGCCCTCGTCTGCTTTTGCTCATCTGATCAGGTACCGACTCATGCTCTTGTTTTTTGACTCTCTTTTTGGATCACGTACTGGATACTTCTGCTGAACAACTGACTTCACGGTATGAACTCTGCCTTTCCCTTCTGACTGTTTTTTGGATCACGGATTAAAGGTCAAGCTCATTCTGGATCACGGACTTATCCTTACCCCTGAATCTGATTCCCACAGATTCATTTCCCCAATTAGTCTTTTTCCCCCTGCATCTACTAACCTTTATCTTTTAGTTGCAAGCCTGTTGGACTCCGTTCCAGTGGACCTTAACATCAGTTCTACTTCTACTGGCAGCCCGCCACTACAACACTACCCAATCTCGAACTACCAATCAGAAGATCGGAACCAGCCCGGAACCGGACCTACTCCAGAGTTTTACTTTATTTCACAATAAATCTTTTAACCCTCTCAGTGGTTGTTGTTGTTGTTTGCGATCCGGCCTCTGGTTCTTGACAGACTATGAGATATTTGATATTGTTTTCCAGTCCTCATGATGTCTTGGAACAAGGTTATTGATGACCTGTACATTAAATCAAAATGATGAGTTAATACATTTTTGTTTTATTTTTATCGAAAGCTAAAAGTGGTTCAGTTTCCCATTCACCGTTAAAAATCTCTTCTTTGTGACATCAGTGGAAAACTGAATTTCATTTATGTTTCAGCATTTTTGTGACACAAATAAAGCCAGATATGGACCAAAAAAACATTGATAAGTTCTCATGTTTTTCACATTTGTTCTCTTTCTTTTATTTATTATTTTGTGCAAAAGTCCTGGGCATTGTCAGACATAGAAGTCTACTGGGAACCAGGCCTCACGTTACACAGTTTGCAACATTTTTCAGCCTGCTCAGACTGTGCAATACAATGTGTTAAGTAAACTTCCTGTGTTAGGAGAGTAAAGCATTTGTGCAAGACACCAGATGTACTTGTGGTTGTGTGCATGTCACAGATATCGCTTATCACTGATAAGATCATTCATTTCAGGATCACTATTCTTTTTTGACTGTTTTTCTTTCTGCTTTTTTTTAACAGCAGTTTTGCATTTTGCTTTTTATACACAATGATTATCTTAGACCTTATTACTGTTTTTCCTTTACAATTTGTACTTTTTGTTGGATGTAACTGGGCCCTGAGTGCACAGTTTGTTCTATCACATGTGCCACATGATGAGGATGGCAATAAGGAAACCTTGACCTTGAAATTCTTAAATCAGCTCAGATTGTTTTTTGTTGTTGTTGTTGTTTGGTTTTTTTTGTGCTTTTTGACAAGCAGCATAGGGTGGCACAGTGGATCATTTGGTACAGCTGTTGCCTCTTAGTGAGAAGGTTGCCAGTTCAAATCCTGGCCTGGGACCTTTCTGGGTGGCGTTTGCATGTTCTCTCTGTGCATGTGTGGGTTTTCTCCAGGTACTCCGGTTTCCTCCCACAGACCAAAAACATGCATGTTAGACTGAACGGTAACTCTAAATTGTCCCTAGGTGAGAGAGTGAATGGTTGTTTGTCTCAATTGTCCCTATGTGTCCCTGCAATGGACTGGAGACCTGTCCAGGGTGTCCCCCGCCTCTCTTGCAGTGACTGCTGGATATGGGCACCAGTGACCCCAGCGACCAAAAAAGGAAGAAGTGTGTAAAGATGATGGATGGATGAATGGATGGATGGATGGATGGATGAATGGATGGATGAATGGATGGATGGATGGATGGCCAAGCAGCTTCTGATCTAAGATTGTGTATTTTCACACTTTGAACATGATCGTGTGCAGTAACCACCAGCACATCTCAATTTGACTTAATGTCTTGCTAACCATGACTGTGATGCAGCAAGTTCTTGATTATCATAGTAAGCAAAGCATTGCTTCATTTTGGGCAGACACTTATTGTTGTTCACCTCTAAACGCGGCTCCTTTTTAATATCTTAAGCTACTTTAACCCGCTTGCTGCCTTGGGTCAAAACCCATAAGGCCTCTGTTTTAAAACGGAGTCCTCCTTGGTCATGCTGAGCTTAGGGCAGCAGGAGGGTTAATGTGGCCTGAGTATAAACTGAGTGCACTCACACAGCTTTTACATCAAAACGAGCAGTTCAGCTTCAGGATGTGTGACTTTGAACAGAATTCTGATTTACCTATGCAGCATAATTCACCACAAACATAATACAATAATACTGTCAATGCTGAAATGTCTCCTGAGCAATGAATTAACTGTTTTTAAAATGTTCATTGGAAGTGCTTCTATGACTGTTTTTTTTTGGGTCAGCTCAATTCAAGATGGGCTCCACATCTACCTTAACAATCATAAAAATGGCTACACCATAGTGAATTGTAGAGATATTCAGCTAAATTTGGTGCGGTAGTAGTTGACAGTAATCTCCATTTAACATTCTGAGAGCTTAAGTTCTTTGTTTGAAATTCAAAGTGGACACCCCAGCTACCTTGGAAAATTCATAACTGGCTGTAACTCAGTTATTTTAAATAGAATGAGCTGAAACTTGGGGTGGTGGTAGCAGACAGGAATCCCATACGTCTCTTTTTAATTTTATTTTAAGATGGCCTCCACTGCTGCCTCAGTAATCACAGAAATGACTATAACAAATCAGTTTTAGAGATGTTGAGCTACAATTTGGTGTGCTAGTATCTGACAACAGATTGCCAAATTCTCAATTTAAAATTCAAGATGGACGACTGACCACTCGGTCAGTGTTATGGATATTGAGCTGATATTACTGTGTTGAAGCAAATGGTTACGTTCTCCCAACATATTTTCATTAAAAGTAATTCAAATATTTTTTCAGGTATTTTTCTAGTATCTAAATTGCTTCTTGATACAGTATGAAACACATTAGTTTAAAAACTTTTAGACATTTTTCCTCTGGTCATCTTCACTAACGCTCCGTTCAGAAGCCTGCATCACTGATGGTATGGGGTTGCATGAGCACTTGTGGCATGGGCAGCTTGCATGTCTGGAAAGGCACCATTAATGCAGAGAACTATGTTCAGGTTCTAGAACAACATATGCTCCCATCTAGACGTCATCTCTTTCAGGGAAGACCCTGCATTTTTCAACACGATAATGCCAGACCACATTCTGCAGCAATCACAACATCATGGCTACGTAGGAGAAGGATCCGGGTACTGAAATG